ACTTATTATGACTATAAAAACACTCGTCGTATTTCCCATCTAATTGCAATGGATTAATAACACTCGTATTATTGCCACCAGTCAAATCAGAAGAAGATGATAAATAATCTTAAAATTCTATTTCCATTCAAACACATCAACACATTCTAACAATCAACTTATTATGACTATAAAAACACTCGTCGTATTTCCCATCTAATTGCAATGGATTAATAACACTCGTACTATTATTTCTGAATGTACATTATCTCATATTGAATTTTATTCCAATATCTAGTCGATTCCACACATGTATATAAATGAAGGAAAGAAGTTGTGTGAGTAACTTGATATGATTATGAGCAATAGTTTGTGCTCGAAACGTCATCAGTTAATATAACTGTACTACACTGTGTGATTTATCAAAATAAAATCTTATCCATTATGGAATTATACTCTACCACAGTGCCCAAGTTTTATACTTATATCAATAATACATATGGTCTTCCTACTAGGAAGCTTATCAATAAACTCACACGACTTTCTCAAACAGAAGCAAGATTCACGAACCATCGGATTTTCAACAGTCGATGTTTGAAAAATCATATAACTCCAAAATATTTACACATACGCACTCCAATTACTTCAACAAAAATATCATCAGCCTCTGAACATCTCAGTAGATTATGTTTAAGAGAAGAACTACATCGAATTACTGTGAAACTCAATAATATACGAAATGAAATCGAAAAACTCAAACGGAAACTCAAATGTATGGTCAATGACAAAGATTATGCAATTGTTGTTGAAACATCCGAAAAAGCTAGAGAATCAGCATCAAGAAAATCAAAAGCCACACAAATCAAAAAATTCAACAAACTAATTGAAGAAAGGAACACAGCAAATAAAATTGATGTCAACGCTTCATCCTCTATCGACAGAACAAAGTGGGTGATCAACCTCTCATCAAAGGAACTAAGCTCTAGTGAGATAAAAGTACTTGAGAAAGGACTAAATTTCAATGTAACAGTTAACAAATTAAAACCAGAGGATGTCATTCCTAGCATAGAAGTAGCGCTAGGTTCAATAGATAAGACAACAGCAGAAGGGGTTCGAGCACAATGTGCATTAACCCTGAAAAATCAAAAGAAGGCAAAATCAAACTTAACAAAATTGGAAAGAGAAGCTTTAATTAGTCTAAAACAGGATAAAAATATTGTCATTGCAAAAGCTGATAAAGGAAACGCCACCGTAGTTCTGAATAAATCTGACTATATCAAGAAAGTTATTGAACATATTCAAACGGGTCCATATGAGGAAATTAAGAAGCCTGTAGATACAATAATGAATAAGGTTAAGAAATCTACAGCAGACCTAATACGCAGAATGAAGCCGTCACTGGGTGAGTCTAAATGGTTTAATTTAATGCCTAAAACTAATAATGCTAGTAGATTATATGGTACTATTAAAATACATAAGCCAGGATACCCAATAAGGCCAATAGTAGATTTTAGAAATACCCCAACTTATGAATTATCAAAACACTTAGCTTTAATACTATGCCCTATCCGAAATAATTCAAACTCTAGATTAACTAATTCATATGAGATGAAAAGTAAACTAAATGACATTCAACTAGCGAATGACGAAACAATGGTCAGTTTTGATATAACCAGTCTTTATACTAACATACCAGTCAATATGGCCTTAGAAGCAGTTAAAAAAGAACTAACTGCGGATACTGAACTCAATCATAGGACAAAGCTGTCCATTGAAGAAATTATTTTAGGGATTCAGCTATGCCTCACATCTACTATCTTCAAGTTCCAAGGCAAAATATATAAACAAACAGAAGGTGTAGCAATGGGATCACCAATATCCCCTATTGTAGCAGACATCTTTATGGACAGCTGGGAAAATAGTGCTCTCAATGCATTTAATCCTAGGCCAAAAATATGGTGGAGATATGTAGATGACACATTCACAGTGTTAAAAACAGAACATATCTCTAGCTTCTTAACACATATAAACTCACAAGTAGAAGGAATAAAATTCACATTTGAATCAGAAAATGAACAAGGAGAATTAACCATGTTAGATTGTAAGATAAAACGAATAGAAGAAGGCAAACTACACACTAGTGTTTATAGAAAACCAACGCATTCTAATAGATATTTAGACTTTAATTCGTCTCATCCGATAACTGTTAAGGCAGGCTTGGTTAAGTGTCTGACAAACCGAGCCATAGCACTAAGTAGCACAAAAAAGGACCTAAATGATGAAATAAAACAGATAGAAGAAGCGTTGGTGTTGAATAACTATCCTATAAAATTCATTAAGAAGATCAGTAAAGGCCAAAAACAAAATAAAAATAATTGTGTAACTAGTAGTAATAACATAAATAAGAGAGAATATAAGTCTTCTACTGTTATACCATATAAGGAGGGGACATCTGAGGCCCTACGTAGGATTCTCAATAAAGCAGGAATTAGGGTGGCATTCAAACCAACAAACTCACTCAGAGACAAACTTTGTAGGTTAAAGGACCCGTTGGACCCAATTAAACAAAATAATATAATTTACAAAATACCTTGCAACGACTGTGAAGTCAACTACATAGGTCAAACTAGTAGGTCAGGGATAGTCAGATTATCAGAACATAAGAATTTAGCTAAAGGGAAAATGATTGACCCTGAAAAGATAAGTAATTTAGAAAAAAGCTCAGCTATTGCACTTCACGCAATAGCAAACAACCACACAATAGGGTGGGATAGGGTTAAAATTCTAAAACGTAATATAGGTAGGTGGAAAGAGAGGTTGATTACGGAATCCTTATTCATCGAATCTACACCCAACACATGCAACAGAAGTGACTCAACGCAAATACCAGAAATATGGAAGATATTATTACCGCCAGTCAAATCAGAAGAAGATGATAAATAGTCTTAAAATTCTAATTCCATTCAAACACATCAACACATTCTAACAATCAACTTATTATGACTATAAAAACACTCGTCGTATTTCCCATCTAATTGCAATGGATTAATAACACTCGTATTATTGCCACCAGTCAAATCAGAAGAAGATGATAAATAATCTTAAAATTCTATTTCCATTCAAACACATCAACACATTCTAACAATCAACTTATTATGACTATAAAAACACTCGTCGTATTTCCCATCTAATTGCAATGGATTAATAACACTCGTACTATTATTTCTGAATGTACATTATCTCATATTGAATTTTATTCCAATATCTAGTCGATTCCACACATGTATATAAATGAAGGAAAGAAGTTGTGTGAGTAACTTGATATGATTATGAGCAATAGTTTGTGCTCGAAACGTCATCAGTTAATATAACTGTACTACACTGTGTGATTTATCAAAATAAAATCTTATCCATTATGGAATCCAACCCCTGTCCCTGCCATGGCCATCGTAAACAGGTAAATTTTTTAATAATGACCATCCCATCGCCTTTCTTATCTAAACTTCCTGTTTATTCATGTTATTTTAAGTTTTCTTAATCCCTGTCTACCCTACCATATTTTCATATCCACACTTCCTGTTTATTTTGTCATTTTATTATTTCTACCTATTTAATCCCTGATTGCATAAACAATTATTCATCACACTAGTTTCTTATCCAAACATCCTGTATATTTTGTTATTTCTACATTTCTAACCCCAATTGCACAATGTCAGTTTTCTTAGTTATTATGCTACTTTGTTTGAGTTTTACCCATCCCCCTGTTTATTATGGCATTCTAATTCCTAATTGTAATTTTTATTAAAACAATTATTCATCACACTAGTTTCTTATCCAAACATCCTGTATATTTTGTTATTTCTACATTTCTAACCCCAATTGCACAATGTCAATTTTCTTAGTTATTATGCTACTTTGTTTGAGTTTTACCCATCCCCCCTGTTTATTATGGCATTTTAATTCCTAATTGTAATTTTTATTAATTTAACCCCTAACCAGAAATTGTTCTGGAACTTTCCCATCCATTTGATATAAATACACGAATGTACAGCCTAGATGATGACTTCGACGAAAAGAAAATTTTCTTCGCTGCAACTGTCTTTTTACACAGATCAGTAATTGTTTTAAACTAAAATAATTACCAATACCCATTGAGTCATGAAGAAAATAAAAGACAAATTTAGCTCCACCAGAGTCGTCTTTCAACATCATCTACAAGGTGAGGCCAAATGGTACAAAGGGTGTCAGGTTTCGGCTTTTGTGCATGGCGGAGGCGCTGTAAATTCGTCAATACAACCTTGAACTCTGTATATAGAAAATGTTTGTCCAGTCACTTATTCCACCTTGGTCTTAACCTCTTCACTAGTCGTTCCCTGTAAAAAAATTTTGATTCTTAATTTTCTTTTTAATTTTACTTTCATTTTGCTTTTACTTTAATAATTAATTCACTATTATCACTCTCATATGCTCCTTTTTTACATTTTCACACCCTCTTCACACTTGTTAAATTGACACGCAACTACCACCTTTCTTCTCACTTAATAGCAGGTTTAACCTTATAAAATTTCTAACTTTGTGCCATTGAGTACCACGTAATTCACAACTTTTAACTTTCACTTCTAAAGCCACTTCTGAGTAATTATATCAATTATGTCGCCCCCTAGTACTCAATAATAGACTACTATACATTTTTGGTAAATATAAATACGACTGTTCAGCCTCTGCAGATGACTTCGTCGTTAACGAAAATTTTCTTCGCTGAATTTGTCTTTCATTTTCTTCAAGACTTAATTGGAATTCTTTTAGATTTCTTTCAACCATAAAACATCAACTCAAAGTGCACTTCAAACACTTGAATGTGATAGGACCCAGTCAGATACAACATCAAGGACTTCACACAGAACATTGGTTTCTGCTGTAGTAAAAAATACTTAAGTGGGAACTATTGTCCTAGTATGATTTAAAGTTAAATTCATATAAAAACTTAAAATCATAAGAAAAAAAAGGCAGTCTACATTCATTTAAAACATACCACGAACAACTCGTTTAAAGGTTTCTTTAAATGGATTAGCATAGGCGCTATCATTCGACTCAAGAATTAACGCCATTTTCTTCACCTTACTATTGATCAACTGTTCGTAAATATCATGCATACATGTCATTCGCTGTTCCCAAAATTCATATTCATATTTTGGTAGTGGGAATTGTCCACTTTTTATGAGTTGATCCGATTCTTGTTTTAGGATATCATCAATTTGTGCACTCCAATCGATAACAGCTGTTTCAATGGCATACATTAAACTTCCATTGACATCATCTCCACTAGATGAAATGAAAGTTTAAGCAAATATTTGTACAAAGAAAGACTTTTTAAGAATATAAATGTAAATAACATAAGTAAGGCTGTCCAGTACTCCCTGTAGCTGGTTTTCAAATACAATCCCTAAAAATTAATTCTTGAAAATTAATCTGATGCTCTCTAGTGATTGACTGGCCACAGGACAAAGTTGCCTGAGGTTCTAGTGAGAAGTCGTGACCAGTCGGAAGTGAGGATGAAGTTGCCGCCGATGACATTGGTTATTGATCGCACTGAATGGTCTACGAGCTAGGTTTCCTTGTAACCGGTAGATCCTGGGTTCGAAACCCAGTGGGCTCGTACTGTGGTGAGGGCTGGCTGCTAGCCAAAATTGGTAGACAGTAATTTACGTCAATGTTTACGTCCCCAATATTGGTCATGAGAAAAATAACACAAACAAAGACTGACTCAACAACCAATGACAGCAGACTCTGCATAGCCGGTTACAATTTGCGGATAGACAATCTGAACGTCAAGAAACGGTAACAAAGAGATGAAATATTAACGATCAGCGAGAAACCACCATTCAGAAAACTGTGTTTGTTTGCTTACAATAATCTATAATAATGTACATGAAAATATATAAATATGTGTTGATTTCCTAAATAAAGGATCTGTTGCCTGGCCCTTGTCTTCTGTTGTTACAGTACTACCGGTGGGTCCCTGACTAAGGCGAAACAGCTGTCCAGTACTCCCTGGTTCTTAATAGTTTTCTAATTGATATCAGTCCGTTGTCTAATGTGAAATAAGTAGTGAAATTCAAGAGTACGGCAAACATTCGTACATCAAAAGCTCTACTTGATCAGCTGAGCAAACAATAAAGCAAAGACATATTAAGAGATATAAGAAAACGGTTTGATAGCGAGTTGACGTCAATTAGAGAAACATTGGAAAACCAGGGTGTACTACTGGACATCTGTTTCGTCCTAGTTTGGAACCCACCACTAGGGTTACGAGGTGAGCTCATAGATTATTCAGCCACTAGGACCCAATCCAATGGCTAGCCCATGAATTCCAACTTCTGTCAATAGGCGATATATATAGCGCAACCGCCAGTCAGTGTTATAAGCACTTAACTGTACTCTTATCAGACTTGGTAGACCACCTTTGTGATTATAAATTTCTCACTAGAAAAAGAGCAATAATATGTTGGAGACACTATCACAAAGTGCTTTGTGCACGACTTTTAAATGCTATTTTCACAGTCATCAGATGACAAGTTCTGTTGAAAACTGACGAACTTACAAAATCCCACTAGATATTAAAATACATTTTTTCAAACCGTTAAAAGTGAACTTGGTTTGGACATGTATAATTAAAATACATCACCTAAATCAAAATGATTACATCAAGACCTATGAAAATCCCCACACCTTCAAAGATTGTGATTAAGAATGAATATAATATAAATGTCAAATGAACTGTCGCAAAGATTTGACAGAATAGTTCTAAAATATTTGGGCGCCGAGTGAGAAGTAGACATTTGTAAAAAATTATATTTGTAAAGTCTCAGCGAGATTGAAATGAGTAATTCCAACGTTTCGTTCGGCAATCTGGTCCGAACTTCTTCAGGGAAATTAATCGAAATTTACATAACAGAGGTTTATATATGAAAGGAACATCACTTGTTTTTAAAAACTTTGTCCAATCATGCGTCATTCAACAAGTATAATAAACAAAATTTTATGAGCTGTGATCAAAATTTGACCTCGGACTTACAAATATGGGTCCACCTTTGTTAAACACTTTAGACAGAGTGTGTATGTGTGTATGTGGGTAAACAGTTATAAAACATTTCTTAACGTCTCCATAAGAAGATATGGACAGTCGAGAATTTTGACCAAGTATTAATAATTAGTGATACATATCAATTTTTTTAAAATATTTATTAATAAGTATTTCCTATGCATCAGCTAACATCAAACCTTCATGTCTGTTCACACTGTTAGTATCTAGAATTTTATGATTAGACGTATTTTCAAAATAGGCACAATCATCGTGTTTCCACTCTCCGTTGTCTGCAACAGAATGCATATCCTAAATCCGTAGCTGTCGAGTCACCTGACAACTCCAGTAGGTCGAATAAAGCAGCTCAATATTCAGAAAGAAGACAATGCAATAAGTTCGACAGGGTGATTCTACTAAACTCTTATCCTAAACACCATAATTTTGAAAATACGTCTAATCATAAAATTCTAGATACTAACAGTTTGAACAGACGTGAAGGTGTGATGTTAGCTCAAGCATAGGAAATCCTTATTAATAAATATTTTAAAAAAATTGATATGTATCACTAATTATTAATACTTGGTCAAAATTCTCGACTGTCCATATCTTCTTATGGAGACGTTAAGAAATGTTTTACAACTGTTTACCCACACACACATACACACTCTGTCTAAAGTGTTTAACAAAGGTAGACCGATATTTGTAAGTCCAAGGTCAAATTTTGATCACAGCTCATAAAATTTTGTTTATCATACTTGTTGAATGACGCATGATTGGACAAAGTTTTTAAAAACAAGTGATGTTCCTTTCATATATAAACCTCTGTTATGTAAATTTCGATTAATTTCCCTGAAGAAGTTCGGACCAGATTGCCGAACGAAACGTTGGAATTACTCATTTCAATCTCGCTGAGATTTTACAAATATAATAAATATAGTAAAACAACTTTTAACCAAGTTATTAATATTTGATTTAATTTGGACTTCCCGTTGTCTGACTGGACCGAAGTGTTCTACCTCATGTTGACATGTTGACATCTTGTGTGGATGCTTTGATGATGTCTGAGGAATTAACCTGAAGTAATTTTGTGAATGGTGACTTGCAATGGAACCCAGAATGTACCCACTTTGTCCTATTTGCGAATAGTCATCAACTAGCTGGATGTACCTACATTTCCAAGTAAGTGAATGATAGTGTTCCCAATGAGGCACAAATGCAGTACCCAACGTTTCAAAAGCCGACGTGTTATCCACTAGACCACTTGGTACATCCGGATGATGAGTCCCAAATAGGACGAAATGAAGTAGTGCATCCTGGATTAGGAAAGCATTTCTTTAAAAATTGAAAACATCTCTTTCTGACATTAAATTTTAAAACAAGCAAACGACTGTGGAAAAACAAAACAGTATTTAATGAATTCATTAATTTCGGTAGAATGACTCGTCATCTGAATGAATACTCCTCTACAAACATTGTTAGTTATATAATTTTCTTTATAGGTTAAGTACATACAAACACATGAACACAATGTGACAACAAATAAGGATCGGTTACAGGATTTCATCATGAGCTGACATTGGTTAGAGAACCATAGGAAAACCTGGAAGTACTGGACAGCTGTTTCGTCCTAGTTTGGGACTCTTCATCAGTACGCATTCACCGGGGTTCGAACCCAGGACCTTCTGGTTAAGGATCGATTTGAACAAATATACGATCTATCAGCGATGGATGGGTGATAATGTGTTGATGTCATCATTCAATGAATAATATTCATCAAAGTTTATATCAAAATGTAAACTGGTGTTCTTATGGTAGGATTAATACAATTCGAAACATCCAGATTTGATACTGATATTGAAATACAAGGAAACTTCTCAAAAAACACAAATAAATAAATCAATTTAACAACAGTCTCCAGATACCGGTTCTTAACATTTCAAAGACCTCAAGTAGACAGTCAACACACCTCCCCACATGGCTCAGACGTACTGCAAAGACTCAATAGATTGATCACATGTTTCCATTTAACTGCCTCTTTCTCTTTAGCAACCTAATTCTATGTCAGCTAACTTTTCTCAATGAGGAAGGTATTGGCTCAACATGAGTAATATATGTCCCTAACCATCTCTTCATAGCCTCATTATTTCTAAATGCTTAACACCAGAAAGAGAGAGAAGGCATACACCTAGGGCTCAACACGGCTGACCTCTTCATATCTTCCACTTTCAATGGCTATGTCTCACTGGCATAAAGAAAGATGGAGCAAACTCTTGAGTAATGCAGCCGTTCTTTGATGGAAATCCGGATATCACGTATTAGAGAAAGATGGCGTAAATTTGTAACGACAGAAGACAAGGGCCAGGAGACAGATCGTTTTTTGAGAAAATCAACAGATATTTATAGATTTTTATATACATTATTATTAGCGTTATTGTTAGCAGAGGAGCAACGTCTTCTGAATGGTTGTTTTCTTGCTGAAGGTTATTCCGCACTGCTTGTGACCGTTTCTTAGAAAGTTAAGCCATAAATCTACGAATCGGATTTCCACACATTAAGTCTGCTGTGATTGGTTGGTGATCTCCTTTAGGTTAAGCTTTGTTATTGTTTTTCTCATTACCCCGATTTAGGACGTAAACACTGACGTAAATTGTTGCCTACTATTCTGGTTTGCAGACAGCTCTCACCACAAATTGACAAATGTCATTTCGTCAAGAATCATTGCGTTAGGGCTGATGCTCCTTAATATTCAAGTGAAATAGTCGACATACCCAACCACTTAACTCTCTATCTTTAAATGTAGAATCGATCCAGACCAGTTTTCTGCGTCGTACACCTTACATTTGACAGGAGTCAATCAGATGTCAAACAGGCTTAGACTTCTGTTCAAGGTGTTCAGAAGACTCAGACTTTCGTCATCATCATCATCTACATAATCTAAGTCGTCAATACTGTTCTCTAGTAGCAAGTCAATCCCTAATTGGCTAAAGTACACCATTATTGCCAGTATGGGATAAAAAATTAAACAAAAATTTGTACTAACTTACTTGCATGATATTGGCGGTTGACCTTTAATTTTTTCAATTCCAATTGGATGTGCTAAATGTGTTTTCCCTTCTATACGTGCCAATACTGTAGCAGATTTTTTCTGTAAATTATACAAGTCTCTTATAACATATTCACTCAGGGATTCTGGCCAACCTTCACGATTTTGTTCATTCAATATGACTGGTGAAAGAACCTGTGAAAAAAGGGAAGTAACAATGATAGAAGAGTGCAGAGGTAAATTAATTAATCCCCCAGAATTATTAGTCTGTAACACATTCTCCATTCAACATTGGATGCTAATCTTCACTGCTGAATTCGACTCGTTAAGCTGAAGGTAGGTGTCGAAGCATACTGTAGTCATGGACAAAGAAGAATACATCAAGAAAGCTGAAGAGCGACTCAAAGGTGAAAATGTCGGCCAACAACACATGAGAAATCCTACTCAAACATTAGATAACCGCATCCAAAGAACCGTAAACAAGCTCACCGAAACAGCCCAGATCATAAGATAAGATCAATGTCGAATGAAATCCAATGGACCAGTCCTACCCCAATTCTACGGAAGACCCAAAATACACAAAACAAACATCTTACTATGACCAACCGTATCAATTCCTGGAACCCCAACATACTATTTAGCCAAGGAACCATACAGAAGATTGAAACATTTAACAGAATCCTGCGGTCACTCCATCAAATCTGCAACCCAATCTCTAGAGAACATCAAAGATATTCAGATAGACGACAGAAAAAATAAAGGAATCCTTCCATATCATAGCAGTATGTACTTCGATTGGACAGAAACTAGTGAAAGAAATCATGGAGCAATTATTCAGCAACAACGAACACCTCCTACAACCCTCAAAAATGCAACACTCAAGTTGGCTGAAATGCATAAACGTATATTTAACAACGTATTTTCAGTTCAACTGCCAAATTTATGAACAGATTGGAGGGACACCCCTGGGATCACGCAAATCAGGTCTGATATTAGGAGCCGTGACTTTAAGACATGAAAACATAATTCTACCGAAGATCAAACCAAAAATTTAGATACGTCACGTGGATGATACATTCATGATAGTGAGAAGAAACGACTTAGGCAGTTAAGCATCCACGCCATTTGAAATAATGTCGTGTTACGTTCCTCTGTTCGTTCATGCACGACCTCTAGCTAACTAAGCAATCATTATCATACTAAGATTCTGATCCTGAAATATATCTCGTGTTTTGGACAATCAATATTTGGTGTTTTGATTTGACATTGGTCTCACTAGCACAAGTACTCCGGGAGTTGCAGGACAAAAACTTGCGTTTGTATACAGACCGGGGAGCACTGTCATCGGACAATCGTTTCCCTCTGGTTTACAATTCTTCATCAGTAAGCACCTATAACCCAACCAGAGATCAAATCCAGGGCCTTCATTTTAAAGAAACCGAGCTCATTGATCATCCAGTTATTGAATAAATTAAATGCTGTCAAACGCACACTACAGAGCAACCTTGTCCATTTAAGAGACGAAATTCCAAAAGATTCACAATCTAATTGTGTCTATAAAATAAAATGTGATGCGACGCAATGTAGATCGGACAAACCTCGCCAGAGAGAAATCAAGATGAGGAGAAATGAACATCATAGAGCATCTCTCCGATCGCCCAGAAATCCAGTTTAATTGGAAAAGCTTGAGAAATCATCAGTCATAGGTGGTTTACATGCTATAGAATCAAACCACAAAACTGATTCTGTCAATTAATTGATATAATAATAATAGCAGCTTTATTCTAGATAATATGTCAACAAATAGTACAGAATTTCCAGCGTATCTGAACCGCAAAATATCTACCCTCAGTACAGGATCTTCAGGCAAAATGGTATTTGGCAGTCCATTGTGTGACTGTGTGTTGCTCCTTCTGAAGTAATATCCAAATCTCTATAAAAATTTTTCCTCATTTTTCTTGAGAGATCCTCTGCAAAGAGGGAATGCACTTGCAACAGTCATTGACAACGATGATTTTGAGTCATAGCACCAGCCAATTGTCTCCAGCCTTCATTGCATTTTACCATCCCGAGGACCCCAACCAGTCACACAGCCAGTCTACATCTCCCTATGTGACTGGCTGGCTTAAACTAACTATGGTGGATTTCACTGACTGATGAAGTCATGGTTTGGTTTGACCACCACTAGCTAGCTCTCTTCCATCCTGATGAATCCTATGTCAGCTAACGTCGCCCATTGTCGAGGAAGGCGATCGATGGCTAGAGATTCATGCGTATCACATGTGCTAGCCATCGCATCAATCGATGTAATTTCACAATTTCGTCGATTGATTTCCCCTCACACTTACCTAGCACTCAGTCGACTAAAGCCTAACCTCAACATCGCTCACATAATTATACCAACCACCTAAAATGGGAGATAGAACGCAGACACCTATGATCAAAGACAACTAGCCAGCCTTTTCATGTCTTCCACTTCCAATGGACATGTCTTTCTCACAGACATAAAGGAGGACAGAGTGAACTGCTGCTAAGCAGTACTCACGCCCTTTGATCGATAGTCAGCCGGATATCACATCCACTAAGCCAGAGATGGCGTAAGTTTGCATATGCCAAACGAGCTTTCTGTATTCGTGCAGAGATTTCGTCAGCGATCAATCGGCTCTCACTGGCTGATTCAACTTCCCAAATAGGTGAAGTGATCAACACGCTCAGCCACCACTTGACTCTTGCCTATCTTTAAGCTCGGAGTAGTCGATGTCATCCAGTCCTGTCCTGTAGCATCATCTTATACCTGATGGAAGCGAATGGCGTGCCAAACATCCGAAGATTGCTGTTCAATCTATTCAGAAGACTCTGCTTTTTGTTAGCGTCTTCACCAAGGAGGAAGGACTATATCATTTGCATATTCTAGTTCAACGAGTTTATTCCATGGCAGGAAGTCGATCCCTGAGTCTCTGAAGTCATTTAGGGTTAAGGCCATTAGTACGAATCTATGGTAAAATTAAAGAAAAATGGGGACAGTGGGCATGCCTGACGGACGCCACTAGCTGTCACCACTTCAGAGGACAACTCGCCGTAAGCCCTCACCTGGCTGCGTGAGTTCGATTAGAGTGCCTTGATCAGTACAATGTATTTTCTCGGTATTCCCTTCACAACCAAGCATCGCCAGAGTACGTCTCGGTCGACAGAGTCGAATGCCACCTTTAGGTCAAGAAATATGATGATTGTTGGACGCCAGTGAGTATGCCACCTCTGTTTCAGAATCTGTCGAAGGGCGAAGATATGATCAATACTCCCTCTTCCTGGTATAAAGCCTGCCTGGTTCTCTCGTGTTTGCTTCTCCCGAGCACCGCTTAGTCTACGCATGATTACTGAACGTAGAACTTTAAATACTATATTGGTCAAGCTAATCCCCCAAGAGATTTAAGCAGAATACCAGATTATGAACAATAAATTGTGTTCGGAACCTTATCCAACAAATAATACTGTTTCACTGTGTGATATATACCTAATGAACAAATTAGCGCCGTTTTGGACAATACTGAAGTCATCCAGAAAAATTTCAGAAATCACAATGTCAGAAGCACTTCATATTAAATGGAATCCCAATTGTGTCTGAATAGGAGTGATGATGAAGTACGACAGAATTTGACCTGGTTCCATTGCACACACACAGTAATAAAATCAACAAAAATGTGATAAGCAATTTCATTACATAAACACATACTATTTTTATAATTCTATACGCTTATCAAATCCAATAATCCTTAAATGCTTTTGTTATCTTTACGAATTAACCAACTTGACAACGTGAAAGAAATTACTTCATGCTGAAGAACGATGGTTAAGTTGCCGCAAGCATAAGCTGAGATTTCGACATCAGTTACAAGGATCACTGAAAATCAGGGATAACTCAGCAGGTGTTTCGTTCTAGTGTGGGACTCTTCGGCAGTGCGCGCCCACAATCCCACAAGAGATCGGACCCAGGAATAACAAGACAAAGCTTGTTGCGAATTGTTGTTGATATAACCAACCAATACCACACATCACCATCCGAAAAACAGAAAATGCTTACTGAGGAGCATAGAGCGGCACTAAGCAGACTATGTGAAAATGATGACATCGTCATGTTTAGACCCGATAAAGGCTCTGGAGTTGTTATAATGAATAAAACTGATTATGTACATATAAATGTTGACAATTCTTAACGACTCCGAAAAATTTCAGGTGGACAAAACTAAGAAGGATGCAACAACGTCATTTGAAAATAAAGTAAATAAATGCCTCAAAGAACTCCTCATCAAGAAACTGATTGACAACAAAACATACAATGAACTCAAGTCAAAAGGTGGACGCCTCTCATTTATGTACGGTCTACCAAAAATCCATATGGTCAATGTGCCCTTAAGACCCATACTATCAATGATAAACTCACCATGTCACAAACTAGCTCGATAACTAGCTGATTCATTGAAGCCAATTCAACAGAAATTTCCAAATCATAGCTTGGATGACACTTTTCAATTTTCTAAAGAAGTCTATCCCGTTGATATATCAAATAAACTAATGTTTTCATACGACGTGACTGCCTTATTTACAAATGTACCAGTGATGGAAACAATAGATATCATTTGTAAACAAACAGATCTATTGCCATTACCGGAGACAGAGATGAAGCGCCTACTAACTCTTGGCACAAAAGACATCCAATTTAGATTCAATAACCAATTCTACCGACAAATTGACGGGATCGCCATGGGTTCACCTGTAGGACCCATTTTAGCCGACATCTTCATGGGTTATCTCGAACAGACGCGACTGAGTGACGCTATTAATGGAACAACATACTATCGTCGATATGTCCATGATACGTTTGTTGTTTGTTACGACATGAGTCAGGCATCCACATTATCTAACCGCCTTAATGAGATCCACCCAAATATTAAATTCACCATGGAATACGAACGCAACAACGAGTTCAATTTCCTGGACCTAAATGTAAAAAGAAGAAACTATGGAACGGTTGAAAAGTCCATTTACAGAAAAGAAACTTGGACTGCACAATACCTTCATTGCAACATCTATAAGCGGAGATTAGTAAGGACACTGTACGACAGGGCCAGGAAGTTATGCTCGCTTAACAAGGTAGAAGAAGAATTAAGCTTTGTTGAAAAATTCCGTAGAGAAAACGGGTATCCAAATGGATTTATCCTACAGTACAGCAAAGAAAGAGATGAGAAAGAGAAGTACCCAACAGTTGAAAAGAAGAAAATGTTCATTTGCCTTCCATACAAAGGAGAAACAGTATCGCAAAAGATTAACAAGAGGATGAAAGGAGCAATAAACATATGCTTCCCTGCAGCCAAGCTGGTGACACTATACAGCACTTCATGCTATATAAGCCAATCGAAACTGGATAAGTACCCTGCTGATGTTACCTCCAACTGCATTCATAAATTTACGTGCATCTGAGACAGCAAGTACATTGGAAGGACAGAAAGAAGGACTTCTATCCGGTTTTCGGAGCATATCCCGAGAAACTTATGCTTCAAAGGAAGTAGATACTTACAAAGTGCAATTACCAGACACCCACCATATGGATACGGGACATTTTGTCGAGATTTCCAAATGCTTCAAAATATTAAAAATACAAAGGACAATGAATCTACTACGATTTGCTGAAACAATTGTAGCAATCAAACATCTCATACCAAACTTATGCACACAGAAAGAGAGTGTAGTCAATCTCTCACTCCCTTGGTAACCGTATTACTTTCATTACACTGATTAGTCATACACACTAGTGAGTTCAGCTCACTAAGCAAGTTTTCAATTTGATGAACTTTAACCTTCTTGAGTTGCCATGTTGACATACAAGCTAACACTGTTTATTAGATTTTTCTGTTTTCTCTCTTTTTTCACCTCCCCCTTCTTAACATAGTTTGATAGTATATAAATTGATGATGACTTAAACAAAAAGGTTTGTAATACTTATATTCCAGATGCGTTCATCTTATAATGTTTCTCTATTAACTTTCAAACATTGAAATATAAAATGTTATTATTTATAACCATTGTAATTTCAGGTATTGGATTGCAGCTGATGAGAACCTGTGAAATAGAGTGATGATATCGTTTTATACTGTAAATCTGGTCTTTTTTTCTCTATCGAAATTTATCAAGGGAACTAAATGTATGAAATTCGCGATATATATATATAGCGTAACCACCAACAAGTGTCATCGGTGAGTAACTAGTCTCTCGCCTAACTTGCTGGACCCCACTGGTTAAGATTTCTCCCTGGAACTCGAGGTAGCTTTCTATGTAGAGCTAGTCACTAGTGAACACAAGATTAATTGTCAAATGTCGGTTTGCAGCAGGGATTTGATTAGTTACAGGCTTGATCACGAGTTGAAGTCAGTTAGAGAAACTTAAGGAAAATCAGGAGGCACTGGGAGGGTGTTTCATCCTAACCTAAGACTCTTCATCAGTCCACAACCATAACCACCATCAGGGATGGAACCAAGGACTCTCCCTTCACATTAGAACACAAAGCTCGCTGAACAAATTATTTACTTTTTCAAGTATTGGTTTGGTAGGGATTTTGTTTAATTGCATGGAGGATTTCATCATGAGCTGACATCAGTTAGAGAACCGCTGGAAAACCTGGGAGTACTGGACAGCTGTTTCGTCCTGTTTTGGGGCTCTTCAGCAGTACGCAACCACCGGGATTCGAACCCAGGACCTTCTGGTTACAAGGCGAGCTCGTAGACCACTGAGCCACTGGGACCCGCTCGCCTTGTAACCAGAAGGTCCTGGGTTCGAATCCCGGTGGTTGCGCACTGCTGAAGAGCCCCAAACCAGGACGAAACAGCTGTCCAGTACTCCCAGGTTTTCCAGCGGTTCTCTAACTGGTGTCAGCTCATGATGAAATCCTCCATGCAAATTATTTACTTCTCAATATACTACTAACTATTGGTTTTCAGTAGCCTACAAGACAAAACACTATCAACTTACTGTATTTACAAAAGCAATAAAATGATGCAGCGGTGATTTATTCATTTCTCCATAATTAATTTGATTTTGTAAAGTGGCAAAATCAACATATCTCTCCATGGCGTATTTCCCTTTTTTAATAAAATAAAACACTTTTGATTTAAATTTCGCTGGGAACTGTGTCATTATCTCAAAGATACCAGTTGGTGTGACTGTGATGAATAGGTGAAGTTGATCCATTTGTTCAAAATAATCAATAATTGTTTGTACACTGTTAGCATCTTCAAGAAACTTCTTCACTTTATCCCATTTTACATCAGTAATCAGTTGGATGAAGTCGAAGATGAAACGTAGACGTATGTCGGATATCTCTTCAAATGGCATAATTGTGGAATGTGATGTTGTAAATATTGTGATGCCTATATATAGTGATAATTTCGAGGGGAATACCTAATTCATTGGGGGCATGTCTTGTATAATTCCAGAATGTGTATTTATTAGTCCCTCCTAGTGTGAGTTTTGATTGAATCTTTAGCGTTAATCAGAGAATTATTTTTGTCAGAATGGTTGGATACCTTCTGATCAGATTTGAACGATGCCTAATCAATAATTGATTGAATGAAGTATAATAATATTATTATTATTACCACTATACATTTATTATAGGCATTACTGTCAAATGAAGTAATCATAGATAGATCTTTTGTAGCAAGTGTGTGTGTGTGTAGATGTTGGGCACTGTGGAAGAATGTAATTCCATACTAGATAAGTTTATTTCAAATATTACACAGTGAGTGATGCAGGTATTAATAACTGGATAACGTTTCTAGCCTAAATTATTGCCACTCGTAATTATTCATTACTCTCAAGTCTGTGTAGAGGAGATCAACTGTACTCAGCATGAAAAAATAAGATCCGGATTTTCAACTCCAATGTAAAGTCAGTCAGTGCTACTTACTATACGGATCAGAGACTTGGCGCGTCATAAAGAGCACATCAAACAAACTACAGACCTTCATTAACAGCTGTCTTCGCTCAATACTCAAGAGATCTCTAGGAGCAAACCAACCAGGAACCGATTGTGCAACAAACAATCAGGAAGAAATGGAGATGGATTGGCCATACTCTGAGAAATCAAACCATCAGGTGACATCACTGGACAAGCCATTGCTCGAGTGGAACCCGAAAGGGAAGCGGCGAGTTGGTCGCCAGTGCGAGGGCGGGTGACTTGGAGGAGGTCATGTGAAGAGGAGATGAAAGCATGTGGGCAGACTTGGAGCCAGTTGAAAACTCTAGCAGAGAACCTAACGTAATGGAGACGTGTGGCTGAAGCCCTATGTTCCTCTAGGAATTAAAGGAAATAATAATAATACCCATAATTATATCAGTTTAGTCACACGGCTTCTCAACTTTTTTTTCATATATGAATTTGTCTCTGTCTCCATCGTTCCCCTTCCACTTTCCATGTCTCCAGCATAGGCTTTGAGTCATTTCGACTGCATGTGTGCCATGTTGAATCGATAAACAAAGACTCAGTCAGTGATTAACCACTCTCTCTGTCTCTCTTTCCACCTAACTATATTACTTTTTAATACTCTCACTCTGTTCCACCCTATTCTGTGGACTACACACAAGTTAATTCTATGCAATGGACAACTAACTAATTTCTATATTTGGGTGCCTATCTCCAGGAAAAGGAACCTAATTTATTCACTCTGCTTAGGATAAGATACATTTGTAGTTCTGATTGCGTTGACTCAGAAATTGACTTTTTAAAAGACACGCTCGCAGAAAATGGTTACCCAAACCGATTTATTGACAGCAACATGAAAGATAAGCAGTCTAAACTGGTCACCGACTCAGTTCCAAAGAAAGCCGTATAGTAAACTTGGAATTCAAAGGTGATCAAGCTTCAGTTATGCTCAAAAACCCTCCCTCTACAGCAGCAAAATTACAAATGACGTTCACCAGACGCAAGCTGTTCTCCATCTCTGTAAAAGATAAGCTCCCTCATCTGGCCGCCTCCATGTGCATCTATCAGTTCACCTGCTCCTGTGGAGCAAGGTATACTGGCCATAGCCAGAGGATGCTTTACACACGGACACGAGAACATATCCCAACTGCATGGTTTTACAAGAAAGAAAGGAATTGTGTGCGAAACTCTATTCTAGAACACCTGATCGACTCCTGTCACTCTACCAACACCGACCATGATTTTAAGATCATCTATCGAATTCCCACTAATTTGCCGCATTTTCCTGAAGACAGAGGAGGCGTTGACTATTAATGTATCAACTTAAGGCAGACCTTTATGTACAAAAGAAGTATTTGCAATCCCTACTCCTGACTTGGCCGTAGACGGATAAACATTTATTTATTTATATTATATTTTTACTTAGTTAATTTATGTACCTTTCCCTCATTATTACGACTATTATTATTATTATTATCCTCACTCTTAATTGTTTCCGCTTGTCCCACTTGTCATTACAACTCCAAAATTATTACTTTTTGTTTTTACAATATTGAATTCTATGGTGTCAAATTACACACCATATTATGTAACATTATATATTCGCCTAATGATCCTATAATTATGCACCCCTTTCCAAAATCGATACACCTCATGAATTATTCTATATATAACACCAATTGTCTTCTAAAGTTTTGGTTTGTAAGGGTTAGTTATGTTTTTACGAGTTGACCACGGATTGATATCAGTTAGACAACCATTGAAAACCAGCCACAGGGAGTACTGGACAGCCAGCTGTTTCATCCTAGTTTGGTAATCATCGGCAGTACGCACCCATCAACAATGTTCGAACCCAGGACCTTCCAGTTACAAGGTAAGCTCGTGTACCATTCAGCCACTAGGATGGAAGGGTTGTCCAGTTCTCCCTGTTTTTCAACTGTTCTCTAACTGATATCAATGCGTGATCAACTCGTCAAAACATAACTAACTCTTACAAACCAAAACTATGGAAAATTAATCTGATGCTCACTAGTGACTTGCTACAGGATGGAGTTTCCTGGAGTTCTCGTACGAAGTCGTGACCAGTGAGGTCCATCCAGATGTCATGTGTGAGGACAAATGTCCCACCGACGCGGGTCGCGCTAAATCACGAATTGGTAGAAGCTAGAATTCATGGGCTGGCCATTGAATCGGGTCCCAGCAGCTAAATAGTTTTCTGTCCAACAACATAACTCCAGTACTCCCTGGTTTTTAATGGTTCTCTAACTGATATCAATCCTTGATCAACTCGTAAAAAAATTATTATTTACTGATAATAATGGTGTGAAGTACATTAAGTGAGAGGATCGGAGTAAGAACGACATAATAAGATATGAAAAGATGAGATCATATCGTCCGTGATAACTTTATGGTAGTATCAGGCAAACACAGACGGTGAATCTGTTTATTTTACATTCCACGAATCATATTATAGGGTACACAAGCAATTATCTCTTGTCACAATTTCCAATATTATTGCATACATAGACCCAAAATAACTGAAGTTATGGCAAGGCATCTTTTCGCTGACTTATAGGAAAATAGTAATGCGTTTAGAAGTGAGAAAATAGATATACGTGACGTTAGAAGACCATAGTGAAGGTCAAAATAACGACGGATATCAATAAACCAAAGAAAGAAGGGAGATAAAAGTATATCTATTATGTCATCAAAACAAAGTTACAAGACAAGCTAATGAACCATTAAGCCATTGGCGCCGGATCCGACGGCTTATGAATACTAACTTATACCACTTTGTGATTTTGGTGTGACTGGCATCAGTCAGTGTCATCGTCGAGCAATTGTCCTCACTGCCGGTTGGCTCGACTTCATTGGCCACGACTGATTACCGGAACCCAAGGCAACTTCACCCTGCAGCCAGTCAGTGGAGAGCATCAGATAAATCTTGAAGAGTTGATTCGTAGAGATTTGATTCCTTTCAGTTTCGATCGCGCTAAAATCACAAATTGGTAGAAACTGGAATTCATGCTGCATTATATCGGCTCCCAGTGGCTGAATGGTCTACGAGCTCGCCTCGTAACCGGCAAACCATGGGTTAGAACCTTAGCTGGTGAGCACTGTCGATGAGCCCTAAACTAGTACGAAATAATTCTCTTACCACTCCCTGGGTTTGCAGTGGTTCTTCAGAAGACATCAGTCTGTGACCGAACTCGAAACAAAACAAATTTTACCAAAGAGGGTTTAATGTCATGAGACGCACATGCATGAAGGTGGAATTGCAATGGGCTGTCCCCATGGCCCACTTTTGACATACTGCTTTATAGCCAGTTTGTAAAATGAGACCTTAAGATCAACAGTAAACAGATTCATGCTATACAAAAGGTATGTCAACGACACTTTTTCAGTCATTCATGATGATACTGATTTAAATCGTATCGTATCCTGCCGATTGCCTCCAACCATCTAATAGCATCAAATCAATGTGCACCGTGATGGCAAGCTACCTAGAATGGTGGACACATTGCAAACCTGACTGATAGAATTCAGTCTGCACCGAAGATAGGACTAGACGCATTACACTAGTTACTGACTAGTGTGCAATCAAAATACCCACTACAGTCCTACAGGAGGTCAATCGCGAGCCAGAATACGTCAGTGGTAACGTCTCTGACTGCGGCACTGGGTGACGCGGGTTCGAATCTCAGAAGGGACATGATTTCCTTCAAGGTTGCAGATACGCCTTGCTGATGAGTGACAACTAGCACGAAACCTAAGTCAGGCAAGGCTTCCTGCCGATTGCCTCCAACCATCTAGTATCTTATAGAAGTTTAACAACTACCAGCCTTCAATTAAATTCACAGTGTAAGTTGAAAATGAATCAAAGATTCCATTTCTGGATGTTGAATTGACAAGAAGAGATTATGGAACTCTGTAAGGATCTGTCCATAGGAAATCTTCATGGAATGGCCAACTGACAAACTTCCACAGTTGGATACCCGTCAGCCGAAAAATAGCTCTCATCAACTCGCTGGTCCACCATATCAGAAGAATTAGCACCAGTGATTGCTTAGAAGAAGAGCTTCTATTTCTCAAAAATACCTTGGCTCAAAATGGAATACCAGGCAAGTTTCGTGGAGAAGAATCTGAAAGTCAAAAAAAGGGAAGAATGCACTTCAGTACCAAAGAAATCACTGTATTTGAGTTTGGACTTCAGGGGACACTTAGCTGGAGATATTCTTAATTGGATAGTTTTCAGTTCCCCAAAAGAAAACCTTTCCTGCAACAATTCTAAGAGTGATATTCTCTGGCTACCCACTGCTTCTAAGCAATGTGCAAGACAGACTTCTATATACGACAGCTTCAGTGTGCATATATCCGTTCATCGGCTCCTGCGGAGCTAGGTACATAGGTC